CCAGTACTTTTGTCCATATAGAGTATGCAGCAGGTTATGTAGGTTACTTATTGGCGGAAGTGCAGATAAATGGGTACACAAAAGGACAACAATCAAGGTTTAAAATAACATACACAGTGTAAGAGCGAGTGCTCTCGAGTGGTGCAACCGTCTAAGCGTTGGCCCTATCATCAGGAGATCGCGAGTTCGATCCCTGGTGATGCTACAGCCATCCGTAGCCGGGGGTCCAAGAGTATGGGAGGCAAATCCACCCAAAAAAGAAATTAAAATTAAAACTATAAAATGAAAATGCAAGCCTCTTTTGCCATTTCTTTTTCCAAACATCTGCGCAAATATCCTGCTAAAATTGAAAATGAAATTTTTCACATGAGCACGAGCCATTTGTAACAAAAATAAAAATAAATGTAAAACAGCTGTTTGTCATTTCATTTTAGTCGTTATTCTGGTTTTTCATGGCCAAATCTAAAATGAAAAAGCTAATAGAGAAAAGAAAATCCAAGCTTCACTTTGGCTTTGGCTTTTCTCTATGAAATGCAGAATACGTGTCAAAACTAAAATCAAAATGCAGTGTTGACGTTCTCATTTCTTTTTCACAGCAATCGGCTGCAGATCTGACAAAATGAAAATGCAAAACTGATAAATCAACAGGAAAGTGACAGTTTGTGATTCAGTTTTCGGTGTGGACGCGCTTTAAGTGTCAAAATGAAAACGCAAATGCAAACGAACATCAGCGCCACCTGCTGGACATTTACTTTTCATTTTCCACTTTTCGATTTCGTTTTCAAACTGACCAACATGCAAATATATGTTAATTAGCACTGGGCGGGGCTACGGGGTACATTTTAGGACATCCTCAGACCTCCGAGTCAGAACGGCATTTTCAATTTTGGCAGGATATTTGCGCAGATGTTTGGAAAAAGAAATGGCAAAAGAGGTTTGCATTTACATTTTATGGTTTTAATTTTAATTTCTTTTTTGGGTGGATTTGCCTCCCATACAAGAGAGCACAACTGGCCTCGCTCTCCCTGGGTGGGTAAGATGGCCCCTCCTTCTCCCCCTATATCTTGACGCGATGCTAGTCAGAGCAGGCGTCTGTTAGCTGACGTAACAGATCTGGCGGTTGGCGCTTTCCTCCGAGCGCGTTCGGCTGTCCAGTGACGTTGCGTGAGCGGCAGTTCGAAAAGATGCGGTGGCTTCACAGGTCTCGGAGGAAGCCTGTGTTAGCCTTCACCCTCCTAGCGTTGATGGTATCGTGTGATTGGGGGAGCCCTAACTAGCGGGTGGAACTGGAGACGACTAAATTGGGTAAAAATCCAAAGAGAGAGAGAGAGAGAGAGAGAGAGATGAGTATTCTGCTGTGGTGCTCAGTAATAGCTCACCAAAGACAGTAAAGGAGAAAAAAAGGGGAGGTGGGGAGAGAGACAGATGGAAGGATGAGTGAGTAAGAAAGGCAGAGGAAGGAGGAGAGGAGGAACACAGCCGAGGTGATGAAAAAGAGAGAGAGAGAGAGACTCCCAAAGGAATTGAGATGCATGCAGAATAGAAGCTGTTCTATGCTTTCACTTGTTCAGAGCTCAGAGACTTTCTCAGACACTTTCTCTGAGCTCAGTCACTAGAGAGAGAGAGAGAGAGAGAGAGAGAGAGAGAACAGATGAGAGAGAGAAATAATGGGAAAGAAAGAGAGAGTGGAAAGAAAGAGAACAAGAGAGGAGAAAGAGAGAAATACAGAGAAGAAAAGGAGACAAAAGAAGAGAGGTGCAGAGAGCAAAAGAGAAAACGAGAGATAAACAGAAGAGCAAGAGAGATAGAGAAAAGCGAGAGAGAGCACATGTGTAGAGTGAAATGCAGCAGTATCTGTAGCAAAGCACTAGCAAACAATCAGAACCCCCCCACCCCCCACCCAGGGGGAGAGAATCAGCGCCAGTCCGGCCCACAGCTGATGCAGATGCTGATTCTGAGAATTAGCCGCCAGCTGAGAGAGAGTCTGCACACAGAGAGCAGCAGAGGAGAAATGTGCATTTATCTGTGATCATCACATTACGCTGAGATTATAATGCAGCTCTTCTGCTTTATCTCCCACCAGTAAATAGAATTTGCGCACATGATCTACCAGATAAGCTACCGAGTGCAGCGTTCACCTACATTACAGGCCAGAAAGATGGAAACAAGCAGTGATTTCAGGTTTAACAAATATTTTACAGTTATGCCAATTTGCCTGCAGCCAGCGGGTTGTCGCCTTCTAGTTTCCCCAAAGTGGTGTGTTAAGGATTATTCCACTGGTGTTGCAGTGGTGTACTTTCAGGTTGCCTTTACACGGTGAAACTTTAATGCAACTAGTTGCATGCTGTAAGTTGCATGCAACATAATTTCCTTGCAACTTCGTAGTAATTTTAATCCCCATTTAAATCCCCACAGCACATGTAACTTCTCCCCATCTCTCATACAGTCCTTTGATTGACTCAGACTCTGAGTTTAGTGCTGATAATCAGAAATTTACAGCCAAATACATGTAAAAATGATTCAAAATGCAGTCACACTTAGAAAAATTAGGCCACTGGGAGAGAAACAGAAAAACACAATAGAGCGCAGTGTTCCAAATCTACCACAGTGAGAGCACTTAAAACCTTCCCTCCAAATCACACAAAGAGGCCCCAAAACACAGTTTGACAGATAAATAACAATAAATATGACAAATATTGTTACAAAATTAATAATATTTAGCTCTGTATTTCAGTTTACATTGATTTTGAGTAATAAAAATATCTGATATTAAATATGCAACAATTTGTTAAAGGCTGTCTTGCTGTGTATCAGAGTTTTAGCACTCAGCATGAATCCAAGAGGACAGAAAATCAATAAAAACATGGCCACCCTATGGTAATTTTTTTACTTGTAATGACCAATAGAATGAAGCACCATTAAAATTCTTGCACTTTCAGCTCACAGACACTCCAGACTAACAATTTCCAAAAAGGTATCTGAGGTGCAACTTCTTTTCAACATCTCTATAAGCAAAATTTTACAACATTTTGCAGACACTAGGCAATTTTTTGACAAAAAATTAGCCAAATTCATTAAGATATCAAATTATGTATGTACCTATGTATATTATTATATGCTATTGTTATTATTGTTGTTACATGCACCCAAACTTTTGTCCTGTAATGTACCCCTCTGTATGCAGGGGTAAGGTTATTTTCTCTTTTTACCAGCAGGGGGCTCGCTTCCATAACAGATTTGCAGCCTGTTTGGCACACAGGAGGCTCATTCTGCATCTGCTCTTTCTTCTGACAAGCAGCACTGGTGGGATTTTGATTGACGTATCTAAAAACACTTTGCAACAACATCTTTTTTGTCAAACGTTTGATATGAGCTCCCCCGCTTTTTATCCGTCAGCTGGCTCTAAACACTGAAGAGAGAGTCAGAGAGTCTCAGTCTAACGTGATTCAGAAGGCCTGCTGTGGAGTAGCTGTGGGTATTAATAGACTCTTAAAGCTCAATCAGTGAGTCTTTGTGCTTCAATCGTAGGAGAGAGTTTGAGGGGAGCTGTAGTAGCACTATAAGAAGCTATTTGATTTCTCCAGTGCTATATAATACATCTTTAATAATCTATTATCTTCTCTTCCAGTAATATTGTTTTAATCTGTAACACTTATGTAGTGTCCTCTAGTAAACTACAGTAACTGCACAATATGATCCTTATAGAAGTCCAATAGAAATTCCTATAATGTTTGTATAGATCTTTTTTATAAGAATGCATTATGCTTTCAACAGTTCAATGGATAAAAAAAAAAATTGGATCATTCAGCCAATATTTTCCTCTTACGACCAGCCAAGACATGTTTGGTGTCTTAAAGCAGAATTCCAGCCCAAAACTAGTAATACATATATTTAAAAATAAAAATGACAATAAAAATAAAAATAAAAAAAGTTTTTCGAGGGTTCTTTCATAAAGAAAATGGTTCTATAGAGAACCTTTAAAGAACGCTTTGTATAATTAAAGGGTTCTTTGCGTTGTTAAATGGTTATTCAGATTGATGGAGACTGTGATGTAGATGAAAAGTGTTCTATACAAAGGCCAAAAGGGGTTCTTCTATTGTTACAATGTCAAGCTTGTCACAGTTGAAGAACCCTTTTTGGTGCTTTATAAAAAACACATTTTAAAAAGGTTCTACATAGAACCATCTACAGCACATTCTCCATCAATCTGAAGAACCATTTAAAGATGCAAAAAACCCTTTCATCATGCAAATGGTTATTTGAGTGTTCATGGTTCTATATAGAACCTTTTTCTTTACTAAAGAACCCTTGAAGAACTTTTTAAGAGTGTATATCGGTTTATTTCTACAGTTAGGCTGGGCCACTAGCTATCGCGCTCTCATAAATGAAGTTAATTGCTCATATTAGGATCCTGCAACAGATGGCTTATGCAAGTAGGACACAGCATCTAGCTAAGCTACAAACAACGGTATAATAAACCTTCATAACAAGCACTTTTAAAAGTTTAAAAAGGTTAAATAAGCCACTTGCTGGGAGTTTCCTCTGGGACCTGGAGCAGCAGGAATCAGTCACTTTATGTGAGGGAGGGGAACGCGAGTAGCTGACGCATACATATTGCTAACTCTGATAAAAAACACTATATATCGCTGCTGTTGGAACAAAACCTCATATCTCCAAAATGGTAACTTTACAGGAGAAGGAAAAAACATACTTTACTTTTAATGTAAGTCAATGGAACCAGACTTTTTTCCAAGCACTTTTGGGCCGTTTCTTTTGATTCATTCATCATGAAATTTACACACAATGTAAAGGAGAACAGGCATTTTCAAATTATGTCAAAAAACTGAAAAAACGACAAAAATAGAGATACGAGGTTTTGTTCCGACAGCTGCGAAATAACAGTTAGAATTAAATATGATAGAAGAAATTAATGAAAAAGAGTAAACAGAGGCTTTAAGAAAACATTTGTTACAATATAAATACAAGAATAAATTCACTGCTAAATACAATAAAAAACTTTATTTGTACAACTGCACAGTAGAAACCTGCATTTACATTAATAATAAAAATACACAGCTTATGCCTACACATACATAGCTTCATGTGATATACAGTAGTTACAAACAGGACTAGTAAAATAAACCATCCACTGACAGCGTCCATCTTCTGGTCTTTCAAAGATAAACAAGCTCATAGCTTTAGCAGTGTTGTTGGTGGTTGGTTGGGATACACAGATAAATAATAATATCTTAGTAATGTTAGATAAGAGTTTGCTCCCTTGGCTGTGGTTTCAGTTTTGGGCTTCAACCCAGAGACCACCCCACAGGAGTGTGAGAGCCCACAGACAGGTGTCCTGGGATCAGCGTCTCAGAGTGAACTCGAGGGTCATCCTGACACTGGACCTGCATTTCTCCATCTTTAGGTCAGAAATTGTCCTCTACTGCTTCTTACCTGCACATATTAGAGAGGTCAGTTTGTAAGAACGTATTATTTAAGGATGCAGGAAATAATCAATTCAGATTCGGTGGAAATGTGGGGACTCACCTTTGGATTTCCTTTTGGGGGTTTTCTTTAATCTATCAGTCAGTTTTCTAACCCAGTCACTTTTTGTCAGAGGAGGTGCACAGAGTTTTCTCCCCTTTTTTGTGACAAACCTGTAAATAATAAAAGATTTTTAGAAACTTTCACCATGCAGAAGATTTATAACTCTTACAAATCAGCCTCGTGATGATCGTGTATAATATAAACAACAAAAAATGCTAGATTTGCAAGTTGAAAAATGTTAAATGAAACAATATTTCCTATCACAAGATTATTCAATCTATTTAATTAAATTTATTTCTAGACATTTTCTACCTTTACATTAAGTGAAATAATCTTACGACATCTGCATATTTTGTTTAGAAAATGGTTAAAACAGCCAATTGAAAACTGTGCCATCTGGATTGTGTTGTCTGTTGGATCTAGATAGATTCAGCCAAGAGTGCTTTCCCATTGGTCAAGACTTCAGGAGCTGAACTGAAGGCCTCACACATTAGATTACCAACATGATTAGGAAGTGACGGAGGAATCAACCAAATGCCTTTTTATTTCCAGTGGAGGCAATTTCATGAGACAAAACATCACTCTAGGTTTTCTGGAAGTTCTAAATGCGTCACTGACTGTGAATACGAGCCGCGGCCTAAGCAAGTTTCGGTGAGTTGTCAAAAGAGTCACAGTAAAACTGTATTTTATACAAGATAAAATTCATGGTAATGTCTGTTACAATCTAGAACCATCCTTGTTAGGTTAGCACTAACATACTACTAGAAGTCCCATAGGGGTTACTAGCAAAAATATCATTATTATAGAGGTGTTTTTTTTTTCCTGTGTTTCGACATTTAGGGCCCAAACTGAAGGCCTAGCTGTAATAGTCAAGGTTCACCTAACAGGGTCACTTGATAAGATTGGGTTATATAAATAGAAATGTCTAGAAATAGGTTGAATAAGCTTATAGTATCCAGCATCATAATGAGAAACCTTAATACATATATTATATAACCATATATAAACTATATATATATATATGTGTTGCAGTGTATGTAATATAAAGCAGTGATGCTGAAGGTGTATAATATGAGTAATATAACTCACACTGTGGCAGAAACATTGCAGCCCTTGTCTACTGTCTGCAAGTAGAAAGACTTCACCATTTTGTGTGGGATAGTTTTGTCCAGGGTTGACAAACAGCAGTCTTCTCCTTCAGCTGTAGCAGACAAATAAACAGTGCATGTCAAATACATACTTGAATGCCAGTGTGTATATATATATATATATATATATATATTCACATGATATATGATATATGATATAATATCTGATATTTCATCCGTATCTGATTTCAAAATAACAACAGTATGTCTCACCTACTGCGTAGCACCAGCCGCAAAAGACCAATAGCAGCAGCAGTAAAACAGTTGTGTGTGCCGTCATGCTGTTACTGACCATCCTGCCTCAGTGTGCCTGTGTTCCTCCTCGTGTGCAGACTCCACTGAAAGCAGCCGCTATATATCCCTCCAGTTTAACTTTCACTTTCACATATCAGTTTTCCTGGAAGTCTTGGCCCTTTCACCTGTTTTTTTAACAAAGAGCAGAACTGCCTGCCAAGTGCAAGTAAAGCTGCAGCACCTCCCGCGTGATTTTGTAATGTTCTTATCAGTGTCAAAACTCCTCATGAGAAAAAATGTCTTGGCACAAGAAAGATCTCTTACTGTCAGTGCACTGTGACCATCCTCAGGGGAATTTCACCATTTAGCTTTGAAAGGGATGGACTGTCATCAGCTTCTTAAGTACTGAATGCAGTGAATAAAAGGATAGAACTTTTAAATGATTGAGATTAATGATGTTTGTCCTATCCATCTGCAAAAGCAAGAAAATAGTGAAATAAAAACATGTTTAATTTACACATGAAGAAAATACATTAGGACTAGGATCACAGCCATAAAATATATAAATATATAATACATTTTTTTCTTTTCATTTTGTAAGCGTTAGCGTTCTGCGTTCTGATCCAGTTTGTTAAGTCTGTTGTGACGTCTTTCCGCGTTTGATTTTTACAGATAATTTTATCGCGCTGAAGCTTTTGCCCAGTGCACTTTTCTATTAAACTTGAGAAAAGAAGAAGAATGTTTTTTTAGCCAGTGCAACTCAGAGATGCAGACACTGGTTAACAGCCCATTCTGATAAAAAAAAAACATTCATCACTGACTCTGAAACTGCAAAGCAGGCACTGTATGAGCCTCTGCTTCAGCTCTGAGCTTCAAGCGTTAAAAAAACAAAGCACAAGCAACCATGAGCTCAGACGGCTTTAGTGTTAATGTGTAAATTTTCAACATGACTTTTGTTTTGTTTTTTTTCTTGCTAGTTTTGTCTCAAAAACTCAATGCAATTTGGCAAAAAATCTGATTTCCACTAATTTTCTACTAACTCCAGATGCAGTTGATCAGCGAGCACATGTTTGGATTCCAATTTTATGTCTTTGGTTTAGAATTGGAGCTACAATACAGCTCACATGTAGCAGTAAGTCATACTGTGCACTAAACTATATATTGACCTAAATGAAGACCTGGATGCATTTTGAGGTTGAGACAATTTTGTATTTTACCAAAATCATTTGGGCTATTTTGGGTGACTTTGAAGTTCTACACCCTTGAAAATGATGGCCCCTTTAAGGGTTCTTTAGTAATGCAAATGGTTCTATATAGAACTGTGAACATTTAAAGAACCCTTTGCATGATTAATCTAACTTTTATTAATGCAAAACCATCACACACATTTGAATGGAATAATTACAAAGCACAATTCTTTCAGTACACTGAGTGTTGAATATGTAAAAATATATGAACACTGTCTCAGCTCCTCCACTAATAATCAATTATGGCTGCTGTGTTAATCCAAATCTCTCCTATTCAATATAATATGCAGTCATCATAAAAATAACACAAGCAACCGCTCACATTAGAAGGAATATGGCATGACATCACACACTGCTCTGCATCAGTCACTCATTTCTCCTGATATTTGCTAAACAGGCAGTGAGCTGATATGGACTCAGCAGAGCGAGCGAGTGAAGTTAATAATGAACCCGGGAAAAATGTGGCAGCGATTAGGTGTGACATTTCATTACACAGCGGAAAAACCCCGGAAAGTTTCGTTCTAACTCCATCACTAGTTAATCTACAACCGCGCTTTATTTACACAGCGCAGGTACAACTAATTCACTTAATGGCTTTTTTGGTTAATTTACTACAGTTGTTCCTAATAAACAGACACACGTTCAGCTCAGTCTTCTCATTATTGACCGCCATCACTGTAATACTTTATTTTTTTGTCAATATTAACACATGAAGGTAATAAGAGGGGACAGTGGAGATCGTGGACATCAGAGAACACAGTTAAAAAAGAAAAACACCTCTGAAAGCAGCATTTTACAGTACCTGTAACAACTGCTTAAAAATGATAGAAATGGACAGTTAAAACAGAAGTTAGGTCACCACTGGGGTGGTCTTAAAGTTAGGACAGTATTTAGGAGATTTAGTCTAGTTAGGATGTTTGTGTAATACTGCTTTCTTATCTGGAGTCAATGGAGAAGATAATAAACTTAAGAACTGTTGTTCTGTAATAGCCTCTGTCCTAAATTCAGTCTTAACGGAAGTTATTATGGTGACTAAAGAGATAAGATAAGATTTCAGATTGAAGATACTTCTACAGTCTGGCCCCTGAAGAACTAAAAGCCTACTAAGTTAATACACTCTCAGAAAAAAGGTAGTAAACTGTCACTGGGGCAGTACCCCTCCTGTCACTGGGGTGGTACCCTCAATGGTACATCTCAGTACCTTTAGTCAGGGAACATTATTGTATCATAATCCATGGAAATTAAGTTTTATTGACTCCACACACCCCACCTCATCTCCAGGCTTTTTATTTTATTGTTCTGTTTAAAAATATTAGGTTATGAAAAGGTACAAATATGTACTTTTCACCTGGTAAAATTATTATTATTAATAAATAAATTCTTATTCAAGGTACACAGTTGGACCTTAAAACCATTGTTGTACCTTTGAGGGTACATTAACATCGTTTGTACCTTGATGAGTGAAAATGTACCTGCATAGAACCTTTATTTCTAACAGTGTATGGGGGCTAAACTGTACCTGATTGTAGCCAATTTGTTCTTACAAATTTTACATTGTACTTTGTTTTTCATTTTGTCTAAAGTAAAATACAGCATGTCAATGGGGAAGGATGTATTTTGCAGTGACAGCAGAATATCTCTCGCTCCATGTGTGCTCGGGTGGCGGCAGGCTTGAACATCCCTGTGTGGAATCGGGTCCCACACTTGGACTCTTGATTTCTTAAAGGGGAACTTTATAGTGTGATTCTGAAGCTACACTCAAATACTGAAGTCAAACAAAACCGACAAAGACTAACTTTCTCAAGACCAGTGAAAAAATGCAGAGCAGATTTCTTCAAATGCTCGCTGCTAAAGAAAACTTTTTCCACCACATAAACTGGAATCAAGGTAAGAAATGTTAGTGAGTGAAATAGATTAGCCATCATTAGCCACCATATCTCTGTTAGCCATTAGCTTACAGACTGTCTAAAGTACGCCACGCAATAAAATAACCTAAATAAATAAAAATAAAAATAAATAATCTACCTCACTATTCTACCGCATAAACTGGTAAGCAGAATAGTTTGTTGCTGACCCCACAAATTTCCATTCGCCCTGGGTTGTTCTGCTTCGGCCCGGTGGGCTCAGTCTCTCTCTCTCTCTCCTTTTTGCCTCCTTCTTCTTCAAGCCACTGCAACTCATTTGTCTATTCTGCTTCAAATCGATTTGGCGCTACGAGATTTTGGACACACATCTCCTCAAAGTGCTCCACATACTCTGCCATCTTCCAAAAAAGCGTAAGAAAACTGTAAAAATAAACTGTAAACAAAAGCTGCTGCTGGCATTAGCCATGTTGAACGGCTGTAGCTACAGACTAGAAACAACAAAAGCATGTTAGTTTGCATGTATTGGTCTCAGTTCAGAATGTGGGTCCAAGAGAGGAACATGGAAGTGATCCTGGAGTAATAGTTTATACTAAAAATACATTTTTGGCTAAAATGTTATAACAAAATTATCACAAAACAATGTCTCAGGTATCAAGCAATGCATTCCTAACCATTTTGTGTAACAACTTAATGGGATGTAGCTTTTAGAGCCATTAAATGCTTCGTAACGTCTGGTTCCTAGTACTATAATGGTGGGCAATTTTGACTCTGTAAATTTCTCTAGAAAGGTGCATTTCACACCAAACCACTCTAAATGACTTTGTTTACATCTAAACCATTGAATGATTAAGTAATTTTGCAAAATCGGTGGAGTTCTCCTTTAATGCTTGAAATGAAGGAATCGACTCCCAGCCTTATTTCAGTGTAAAACTGAAAAAGCAAACTTCAGACACCAAACGTGTCTTGGCTCATCAACTACATGTAGTTTTTGAGGCCAACAAAAGAGTACATACACATACGCCTCAGGCCTCCTCTCTGAGCACTCACCTGGATGCTGAAAAAAACAGGTGGAATTTCACTGGAACTCAGGGATGATGAAAGAGGCTGAATAAGGAAGCAAGTCATGTTGGGAAAAGAGACAAAAATGCTTCAGACAAGCAGGAAATCCAACACTTTGTGATCTTTCACGAAGATTAGCAAGACAAAGGGTGAACAGAAGATGGAAGTTATGGAACTGGAGTTAAAAGTGCATTAAAAATGTATTAAAATGTATTAAAGTGACCTGGATGTCACAGCAGTCAGAGAAGAGGTGCTGGGAGGCGCTAAAATAAGAATAGCGCTATGCTAATTCATGCTAATTCATGCTAATTAATGCTAGTCATTGGAACGACTGTATTCTTAACACATTAATCAACACACACATGTAGTATAGTGTTACATCCCAACCCGCACCAGTATTCTCAGGAGATCTATGTCAGGATCAGTGCAAAGGATCCAGTTAATCTGGAATCTGGTGCTGGGTCTGGTCATCTATTCCAAGATGTTTTGTGAATAGAGAATCAGATAAAAGGTGAGTTGGAGCTATTGTAATGGGCTGTGTATGTATCATGTTATGTTTCTTCATGAGTAACAATCCACTATCTGTCTGTTCTGTCTGTTTGAAAAATTATAAATGCGGGCTGTCGGGAAGACACTACAAATGAAAGTACACACCGCATTGGTAGAAGGCTAAGACTCGGCTAGTCACTGTTATAAAATTTATCTAAGTAAAAGAATAAATAACATTGGTTATTGACATGCGGTAAAAGGAAAATTCCATTAATTTTTGAACATTTCTGCATGATTTCGTGGTTTAGATGTAAACAAACTCATTCAAAGTGATTTGGTGTGAAATGGTTCACTGTAGAGAAACTCACAGGTTCAGATTTCTTTACAGTGGTGGTGATAGGAACCAGGGGTCACCATGTCTACAATACAAATATAGCCATTTTATTTACTATC